CGTGCTCCGTGCTACACGTCTATTTCCTTTATAGCTGTGCTATAGCTTAGCTGGTTCTGGGAGTCTAGCTAGATGTAAGAGGATCTGCCATAGAGATTCCTGAGTCGGTCAGGCTTTACCGAGGTAGCATTCCGCTACAGGGGGATGTCTGAACATCTGGTGGCTTTATCGATGCTAAAACCCAAACAGCGGTTTAATATGGACGACAGGAGATGTTTCCTTTCTTTTCTCAAAATACCCACTTGAGATGAAAAGCAGACCTTGTAATAACAGGAGATGTAATTATTATTATTGAAGGTTGGTAATATGATGTTTTTCAATTATTTGGATTATTTAAATTTTTTTAACATTGGCCCAAAATTAAACAAAAAATAACTAACCTTGGAAGTATCCCCAAAATTATGAAATAACGATATAGTTTAACCATCAAGTATTATTCACAATGTTGATTACTCAAACATCTTTAATTTATTATTTAAATTAGAATTTGACTATTGCATTTTAACTATTCAGATGAGCGAACCTTCAGAAACATCTGGAAGGCGATAAAATCCGTTGGATATGTTAAATAAGATTAGGAATCAAGCTAATATCTAGATAAATAAAAAAATGAGATGAGGAATTAGGCCATCCAAACAATTAAGTAGACGCATGAGTCAATGCAAACGTCTGCTAAACCAGACGTCCCGAAATCGATGCCCATTGGCTTGAATTCAAGTATTTGGGCGGACGACCCCACGAGGCATTTCAGTCAACGAAGACGAGTGAAATAACACAAGTTTCCCATAAAGACTCACAGAAAAATAACTTTTTTAATAAGTTAAGCGTTCCTAACGCTCCTCTTGAGTTACTTAGATTTCCCGACGTTTTCACTGAAAGTGAAATCGGATTTGAGAAATGGATATAGGTAGTTTTATGCACAATCTAAAAGAAGAAATTCTACTTTTCAACTATAATCTATAGTGTCGCCTCCTTCCTCTGCTTTGAATGTATTAATGAGACAAGATAAAATAAGTAAAGATCTAACAATTTTCTGTGGAATATATTACTTACCCGTTTTACAGGTATCATAGTCCTGCATCGCTCTAATTATAGTCGTCTTTTTGCTAATGATTCTTCTCAGAAGCATTCGGTAAGCCGCGTCGTTGGAGTGTCTAGAATGAACGGAAAGAAAGCACTTACAATTGGAAGATCCGAATAAAAGTTTAGTACTTGACAATTACGATTACCGTTTTTCTAAAGCCGTCTGCAATTTCCTTGATCTTCCTGTGCGAAAAGTCACTAATCTTGGAATAAGACGAGTTTCAATTACTTGTTTCTGGCTATTTGTACTGGTATTCAGCGACTTCATTACACGAGTGTAAAGAACGGACGAGGAGTTATTCGTGGAAATTGTGTCCCTACTCTCCACCCCTGGTGCTTGAGCTGTTGACAAATCAGTAATTTCGCATTCCACTGGCTCAAGAATGCTTATTTTGGTCTCAGATCGGGGTGTGCCTACTTCACGCTTGGAGAATATTTGAATGAATGATCCGAGGTTACTGTCTGGTCCGTAGTAGTTGGAGGCGGAGAATACGGTTAACACCTGAAATTAAAAGTCCACTTTACAATGACAGATTCTGTTGAAAGAGGTATGTACGATAGACTTACTTCCACGTGGTACACCCTGGACAACGTATACTCATACGGCAAAGGTCTTTTAACCGGTAGTTGACTTCTGACCTCAAACTGCCACGATCTCACTGTATGTCATATTCAACTACTTCTACAGTACTCACCTCACCTTTCTTCTACCTTTTCTACCTTCGTCTTCCCCCCCCCTTCCTCCTCTCGACTTTCTTTCACTTTGATGTTCCTCCCCCTCTGTGAAGCCAGAAGTCAAAGCGCCTGCCATTTGATAAAAATAAATAAATTTTGTTAAAAGAATAAGGCTTTGACATCTATCATTATGGCAACTTCCACAGGCATTTTTACTCCTTTATTGGAGTTCTGACAGCTTTTCCCACTAGTT